GAGGCTGTGATTTCTCGGACCTTTAGTTCCAATATGGTTATTCTTTTTGGTGTGTTATCTGTTTGATTGATCCTGGGATTTGACTGAAAGTCATTCATCACGAAGTCGTATCACGGTTCTTGTTGTTTAAATCACTGGCACGCAAACGTAACCCAACCCACTCAGGGATTTAATAGTATGGAAATGGTATCACGCCTACCTGAAAATNATGTGGTACATTTTAGATTTTAACATTGTTTTTTCCGGTTTAGTGAGGGTCAGATAACGTATTGGACATTGTACGACATTTTATTTACGTCTTTATACATATATGTAGAACCAGAATGACTGGACGGAATTTCACTGGAAACACTACATCGGTTTCGCGGTTGTTCGCGCTCGTCAGATATGCACGTTCGATAATCGTTGTCAGGTCAGGCGGATACTTCGACATGGAAAGAGTGTATTCTCGACACAAATATTTCATTTCGGACGCTAGGTTTAGTTATTTGGACATACCTATATATGGCCGGTTTTGCCCTCAGACAATTTTGTCAGTTAATGTGCTGTTGTCTTCTATGGAGCATATGAATAGACCTGCACTCCCGATGTATTACTGACTCAATTTTAACGGTATACGAGGAGTTCAACTTTCTGTGCTCATTAAACCGAATCCAAAGTACAGTGCTTAGTACTTAAAGATATTCTGAGGCATGCGCGTAGGGTTCCATTGAAATCGTTTTGTTTTGATTTAGCAACACAGTTTGCCCACAATTGATTCTAGTGTGAAGGTCACTTCTGACCACCAACCAACACATTCTCGATTTAAAATATTGATTCAATTTACTGCGTTCGTTTTGACTGACAGACTTTGTTTCACGCGAAACAGTGCGGAGGAGATGTAATGCACCGCTCCATCTTCTTTGCTTTTGACAGTGATTGCTTAGCTGCAACTTGAAATAGACTGCAAGTGTTAGAACCGGCGTGCAAGAAATAAGAATTTGGTCCGATTGAGATTGACTGTGTTTAGGCGTATTTCATTTGAGTTCTCGTGTGTGTGTAAATCGCCGCTATCCTCATCCAGATATAGGACCAGAGACTAACTTCAATACACTGAAACAAAAACACCTTTGTGTTCAAGCGTGTTCACCATATCTGTCTCAGCGATTAAGCATAAATTCCCCGCAAGGAACCCTCTAATGTTTAGTCAACTCATTTTTATGTTTTTACTACGAATGTAAATTAGACCACAGGCAAACTTCAACTGCACCTCAGGGATTAAATTCGAGGGTTGATGCTCTGTTTTATGCACGATTAATCCACTGCTCAGGCCCCAGGATGAACAACACTGTCTGGACCAGGTTATTTTGTTTGCATAACTCTGGACTGAAAGTGCGAATTGTGATTGCCTCGGCTGTGGTTAAAAGGTGTTTTCTTGTTCCCTTAGTATATCTCCGGGGTATAGTGTGAATAATTTTGAATGCATGCAACTTGTTCACAACATGCCCGCTATCAACGAGGTGATCAAGAATCGAGCTGCGAATGCATCTAACCATTCCTTTGTAGAGAGTCGCCAGACAGTGCTCAGTAGTACATTTTGATAATCGCCTGGTCGTAGGTCCAATGTATCGCACACTACAAGTGTACGTGAAAAGATATAAAACGAAGGATTTGGACTGATGAGGCACCTTATCTTTTACTTGCTGGGACATCGAGGGCCGAGTGGTAGTGAGGATATACGGTTGAGCTGCAGGGAACGTCTCGGAGATCCTTTTGGACGAACGTCCTTTGAGAAGTCCCAGTGCACCTTCGCTCTTAAACGGCTCTGTAAGGAAAACGTTCTGGCGAGCAACGGCCGGTGTTGGTCTTCAATCGTATATGTCTATCAACAAAAGATTCCGGGTAACCATTTGACCGAAGTACGTCATGAATAAAACGTATCTCGAACAGCAGTGTTTCAACACGGAAAATCACATGCGATCCGTAAGATAAACATGTGATCAGGTTGTTTTTACATTTCGGGGGGACAAAGCTACAAAAATGCGCATACTGTCCAACCCACGTTATTTGGCGGAAAACGCTTCCTTGGATGGTACTGTTATCTGGCTTTGTTAATAAAACATCCAAGAAGAATAGTTGTCCGCTCTTTTCTAATTCACAGATGAAACTAATAGCTGGATGACACTTGTTGAATTCGTCGATAGGTTGTGGCTGATGAGAGTATCATAAACGGTAAAAGTATCGTCGAGGTCTCTGTAATGTACGTCGAAATGTCGCATTGTCTCTCGGAAGTTTGACTAGGAAAATATCTGCCAATATGGAACCTTGTGGAGATCCCATGGTTACCCCATCGATTTATCTCTAGAACTTGTCATTGTACAAAAAACTTTATGTTAAATGTACATCTGAGAATCAGCTCTTCTACTTTATTCACCGGAATTCTGACGTGAATGTTGCTAGAAACTAAGAAGTCACATAGCTGATCAACTGTCTCTATCAGCGGTAAGTTTGTAAACAAGGATTATACACCGAAGGGCGTCATAACTTTGTTGAGAACATTGAGATCTTCTATCCTCTCTATAAAGTTAAACGTATCCTTCAGGTTGTGCAATCATTTGGTGGACTGATTCTAGAAGTTTTACGATCCACTGAGCGTTAGTATGGTATAGCAAACTTGACATATCACGTGTAGGTCTTATCGAAACGTTTGGTTTCTGCACCTTCGGTAATCCGTAGAGTCGCGGGAGCGAGGATCCAGTCGGGATCAGCTTTTCGAAAACCGCTTGTGATATGTGGCCCTTTATCTTTATTAATTCTCCCAAGATTGATGTTAACAGATTCCATTTGCTCTATCATGTCTTT